AGCAGAGAACATTTTGAGAGAAATAGGCTGGAGTTGGGGCCAATAAAGCCTAATTGAGAACCTGATTCCCACCATATGGCTATAAAAGTCACATTTAGGCAAAATTAGCTAAAGTATTTTCTGGCCAAGTCTAACTCACTTCAATGCTGTTGTAGGTAGACACGCATGATGATTATAGAAGCTGCAGAAGCACTGCATGAGCGGTAAAAGAGGATTGAGAATTTTTGAAAGACAGGTCAAGAACCTGGTTCTTGTACCACAGGTTAGTAGTCTTGTGCTTTTTCATACATATCTTAAAAGGAAACAAAAATTGAGTGGCATGTCATCAACCTTTTCAGACCCTGTATGTCACGTCTTTTCATTCAAATCCCTTCACTTCCCTCTGAAATGTTGCATCTCCCTACAAAACTACCGTCATTTCAGAACCGGCTTCTCTCTCTCATAATTGTCTCTTCTCTCATTAAAACCCTCTCATCACTCTGAACGATCATCTCTCTCTCTCTATCTCTCTCTCTCTCTCTCTCTCTCTCTCTCTCTCTCTCTTCAGCCCTTCTCCGAAACTTTCAAACTTCTTCTCTACCATGGATGAAGATCAACCAATAATCCCCACCATAGTCGAGAAAACTCCAGAGAAAACCCTTGACTCCTCCGTTTGTGAAACACCTCTCACCGTTCCCTTTTCCACCACCACTGCAGATGATACTCCTAAACCTGATTCTCCTTCACCCTCTATTTCTCCCATCACTCCCTCAGACCCTTCTCCCCCTCTAAGTGTTGAGAACTCAGAAACCCCCAAACTCGATAGCTTCTCGTCTCTGCCGCTTGAGATTCTCACAGCCCAAAACAAAGATGGAGAACAGAGTGAGACTCCACAGGTAGAAAATTGTTCTGAGGGTAGCATTGATCAATCTTCAAGTACTCCTGTCTCGGATTTTACTGCACCCATGGAATCGCCAGAGAAAGAGTCCATAGAAAACATTTTGACCATCTCTGCTGAGGGAATAGTGTATGGGTCACCTCTACTATGCTTGTATCTCAGGGGGAAGAGACTCAGTCGTTAGTGGGAGAAGGAACTGTGGTGCTTTTTGAAAATCCAGCACCAAAAGAAACTACTAGGACCCTTCTTGAAGGACCTGACCCCTCTCCTAAGGAAACATGTCAAGGATCTTCTTCCCAGGTCAGTTTTGACCCCGCTCCTTCTCCTCACTTTGATGTTGAACCTTTGGAAATTTTGGCTCCTGCTGTGAGGTCAATTGATGATGAAGATCAGGATAATGTTGCTCTAGATGCGTTCATTGCCAGAAGAAGTCCAGTGGCCACTCCTGAGCCCTCTCCTAAGCGGCCTACTACGAGGTTGCAGAAAAAGGAGCTCTTGAGTTTGCCTTGTAGAAGAGTAAAAGGAGTAGTAAGAAGAAGAAAAAGAGGCTGGTAAAAAATGGAGAGGTTGTGTGTGACAAGAACATTCTTGTAGTGGAAGTAGATGAGGAAGCTGCAGAGGAACCAAGTTCCTTAGTCAAGAGGTCTCAGGAAAAAAAAAAGCGATCTGCTGAAAATGCTTCAGAGGAAGGTGTTGCTACGCTAAGTTCAAAGTCAGTGAAAAGTGGTGACAGGTTGAAACAAGTAGTGGTTGAAGAGTCACTGTCTGATGAGGATATCTTAGTGAAATCAAGTGGCAAAGGTAAGTCTAGAGTGAAGTCTGGTGAAAGAAGTTGGAAACTGTGAGGGAAGCCGATTCTGCAAAGAGAGTGAAACGTGAAAATATGTCCGGTAAAGAAAACCTGAGGTACCAAAAGGTTCTGTAGGGTCGCACTTTTGACCCAGAAATATCTGAAATGGATGGTATGAGGAAAATACTAGACATGGTCGAATTTCAACAGTGGGGACATCTGTTCAAAGTGGATGTGTCCAAGGTCTATGAGGATGAGGTACAAAGTTTCTATGTAGACCTCTTTACTGTTGAAACTGACCATATCTGTCCTCTGGTCAATAGAGTTGATATTGTTTTGGATGTTGCTCTGCTTAGAGACATACTTAAGGTCCCTGCTGATGGTATGTCCTCTGTCAAGGATGTGCGTGGCTCAAATTTTAGGAATGCTATTGTAAAGAAGGGAGCATTCCACTGGGGGGAACGGGTGCACAAGAAAGCTCTGCTTCCTATTTATCAGCTCCTGTTTGAGTTGGTAAACAAGGTCCTTCTACCCCGTGCTGAGAGGAGGTCCATCACTTCCAAGTTTGATCTGTATTTGCTGGAAACACTGGATGGGTTCCGATCTGTTAATCTGCCAGCCATAATGATTAAGCACATGCAAAAGGTGGCAACTTTCAAAGATGGAAACCATGGTCTTCCTTATGGATTTCTTCTCACGCATGTCTTCAAGTTCTTTTATGTGCCTTTGGGACAGCCCAAGTTAGGGACCAAGAAGCAGACCATTTCTCAAACTACTTTGGAGGAATATGAATGTGTTAAAAAAGGTGGAGGGGTAAGAAGTACTTCAACAATCTCCCATCTTATCAATGCCCAGAATAGTGCTACTGAGGATATTAGGAAGTTGAAGGCAAGGAATGCCATTCGGAGAATCAGCAGGCTCAAGAGGCACCAGGGTCAAATGCAGAGATTGCTCGTCTGACCAAAGAAAATGCTGATCTCAGGCAACATGTTGAGAACCTGAAGGAGAAACTGCTTGCAGAGCAAATGTCGGCCAATGCTCGAATTGATCTCGTTCTCAACACTCTTACTGCAACTTCTAAGCCCTCTCCCTCTAGTTTCCCCTAGGCAAATCCTTCAGTGACCAGTTTCTATTTAAACTCTTTTGATGTGATGACTTGTGGTAGTTGTTTTCTTTTCTTTTTTTGGTATGGATGGAATTCACCTGCACTGCTCCCGCTATTACCAGTCCAAATTTGCCTTTGTTGTAATGGCAAAGGTTTATGTTTTATAAGTATTAGTGAAAACTCTCCTCTTTTGCTATAACTGCTCATTCTCTGCTTCTCTTCTCTATCATGTGGTGTGCACATATATGGGATGAGTTAGCTAGGCTAGACTTCTTTATGCTGATTGCTTGCTTGTGTATTTTTAATGATGCCAAAAGGGGAAAGTATAATTGAAACAGGATCTGATTAAGGGGGAAGCATAAAGTCAGGGGGAACTTGTGAAGTTCCTGTTACTTCATCTGGTTTATTTTTCTCTGAAACTGGGTTATCAATTTCTAAGTTTGTCATCATCAAAAAGGGGGAAATTAATGGGTTTACAGTACCTTAGCTTTATGTTTTGATGATCTAATAGACTTACTGTCAAAGAACCAGATAAGGGACCTGACACACTTGGTACACAACTCAATCAACGGACTTGAGCTAATGTGAGTTGCTATGACTTCAGAAGATAAAGAATCAACACAGGGACCTGATCCCCTTGTGTTTCCCTGACAGCAGTACGAAGTCAACTGTCTACAGCTGGAAAGTGATTGCCTGCACTGTACACGCAAACAGTGCAGCACAGTACTGCAGTCACTCCCCTTTGACCAACCAAGTGATTACATCATTCAAGTGATGTCATCCAAGTTGTATTAACAAGAGTATTACAAAAAAACATCATTTGAACGTTTGAAAAATTCATTCAAGCACTCCAACCGTTTATCTGTCAAGCATTCAATTCTCAAGTGCATCAACAATAAAGTACAACACTATTACGGGCCAGTTCCTACAGCAAGTATCTTGTATGTCCTTAGTTAAGTTGTAACTTTGTAATTGTTCTTCATTGTAATTCCTACTTTGCTTATCTAGAAGCTTTAATTAGGAACCCCTTGTAAACCATAAACCTTCAGTGTTTGTGTCGTGACTGGAGTTAGTCATGAGTTGAAAGTCTTTGTAATAGGTGTATTACAAAGTGGCTTGTAATAGGTGTATTACAAGTTAGTGAGGGATTAAGAGTTTAATTCCTAGATTGCATAGGTTGTAATCTAAAGTTGCTCATAGTGAAGTTGAAATCCTACCAGTGTAGGTCGTGTTTTTTTATCCCCTTGAGCAAGGATTTTTCCACGTAAAAATTCCCTGTTCCATTTACTTACTGTTTCATCAGCACTACCAGTGGAAACCTATAGAGGACCTGGTCTCTATATAGTTTGGTGGACTCCTATATTCTATCATTTATTGATTTAACAATGATGATTACAAAGATCTACAACCAAGATCTAGACCTTCGCTTGTTTTTCCTCCGAGATCCTCTCTGGTTCTTCTGTCTCCTTTTTCTTGAAGGAGGGACCCCCCTTTTTCTGTTGTCTTACCTCTTATATATATTATTAGTACCCCCTTTTGTCCAACGGTCCTAAGCCAGAATACCCCAATCCTTTGATTGTACTTTACGTTGCTCCCCTTAAGTATCACGACATATACATTATCGTACAAGCTTTCTAATAGTTCGATCTCGGCAGCGACCGAGATACTCGTCCTTATTACGCCTTGTAGATACGACCACGACTTAGTCGACCCCTTGCCATTTCTTTTAGCGCTAATCTGCGTATGGTCAGATTTTGACCCATACAGCAATGATATGTGTCAGTTTGTGTGACAACAAGGTCCAAGTGGACTTCAATCATTTGCGTGCGAGCAAAATCTTAGGTTTAAAGAATATTAAAGTCAGAGTCAATTTTATTACTATGAATTACACACAACATTATCATAGTTTTTAATTTTCATTTAGTAAAACAATTTGCTTAATTTTAGAACGAAATTTTCTGTCTAGATATTGCTAATATACTTTTTAGTGCATAAACTAAATACAATATGCTAATCAAGTGTTCGATTAATGATAGTAGAATTTTATACTGATACAGTTCTTATACTATTTGCGACTCAGTGAGGGACTGCGGGAGAATGGTGTAAAAATCTAAAATATCTTATATTTTTTAATTTTCTTTTGGACAAAAGGCACATTAAAGATTTATTTAAAACATTTTTAAAAAATTTGTTAAATCCAGTAATCAAATCTCGCATTAGCAGAAAAAGAAAAAAAGTGAAAAAGAATCTCGAAGTCTTGCTGTAAGCCTTTAACCCGCAGATTACTTTTTCTCCGAGCCACGAGCAATGTCTGTACTTCCCTTCATTTCCTTCAATGATTGAGAGTGCCCGCCGCAGACTCATCATTCATCAAAACCCTTGTGTTTCCATCAATTTCTTCACTTCTTTTACAAAAATCTCTTTTCTATTTTGGGAAGAAATAGGAAGTAAGAATGATACTACCAGTGTTCAAGCTAGGGACACTTGCCCTCAAATCTTTCTGCAAACCCATCGGCCGTCGCATTAAGAAAGAGGCTGGCTATCACCCTAGGTTCCGAACTTTCATCATCAACATTGCCCAGGTTTTTTTCTTCACCCCCCCTCAATTTCAATTTCTTCAATTTTACCAAATGGTCAATGGTAAATAATTATTATAATGAAAAAAAAATGATTTTTAGGGGCAATCGTGGCTTATAGAAAGAACTGGTGTTTTCATTAGAGGAGGATTTTCAGAAATTAAATGTGAAAGTAGTCAAGTTTTCGGAGAGGACAGTAGCCCCCTTTAAATAATTAGTGTATCACTGGCGGTTACTTATGTGGTGAAACTACATAGCCTCTCCACAAAAGGTTACTTGGTCGAAAGTTCTCGTTGACTGAGCTCATTTCCTGAATTTGAAGATCAATATTTTAGGTGGATGAACAATTGACCGTAGGGTGAAATTAGCTAATAGATTAGAATCGGTAAAATGAAAAGTAGTAATGCTAAAAAAGTACCAAGAAATGCCCGACGACCAGTGGCACACAGTTCAAAACTCGTGCATAATGGGCGTCCTGTATTCTACCCTTCTCCGCTTAAATACCAGACTATTATATGTGCAGGGTTCAAACTCGTAGCTACACATCACTCACTGGGCTCTTACAATAGGGCCTTAAAAAAGCAAATAGAAAAGCATTCTAAGTGTATTTAGTTAAGTACAACAACAACAACATATCCAGTGGGATCTGGGGAGGGTAAGTGTACGCAAACCTTACTGCTTTTGGAAGGTAGAGACACTATATCCTCGGCTCCGAAAGGAGAAAGGGGAGGGGCAATACAAGCAAACCAATCTGACAACCGAAACAAAAGTACAAAACTAACACTAAATAATGCAATCAGAAAGCCGAAACAAAGGCAACACCAAGTAATAATAGAAGTCTAGGGATATGAAAAAATATAAAGGACACTAAATGATGTATCAAAGTTACCGCTACAAACAAGAATGATACTCAGTTGCCTAACCCTTTACCTTTATACTCAACCTTCACGCCTTCCTATCCATAGTCATGTCCTCAGTCAATTGGACTAGCGTTTTATCTTGCCTAATCCCCTCTCCCCAATACTTCTTCGGCCTGCCTCTGCCTCTTCGGTGGCCCTCCAACGCCAGCCGCTCACACCTCCTTACCGGAGCATCAGTGCCTCTCCTCTTCACTTGCCCAAACCATCTAAGTCTCGCCTCCCGCATCTTGTCCTCCACAAGGGCCACGCCAACCTTATCCTGGATAACTTCATTTCTAGTTCTATCTGACCTAGTATGACCGCACATCTATCTCAACATCCTCATCTCGGCCACGTCCATCTTCTGGATATGGGAGTTCTTGACTGGCCAACACTCCGCCCCATACAGCATAGTCGGTCTCACCACCGCTTTATAGAACTTACCTTTAAGTTTAGGTGGCACATTCTTATCACACAGAACAACCGGACGTGAGCCTCCATTTCATTCATCCCGCCCCAATACGGTGTGCGACATCCTCGTCGATCTCCCATTCCCTTGTATAACAGACCCAAGGTACTTGAAACTTTCTCTCCTAGGAATAACTTGTGAATCCAGCCACATGTCGCCATCCACTGTACAAAACTGTAATATAGATATATACATTTTTTATTCAATTTGACTAGGGAAAGGGATTATGATTCTATAGGAAATTGAAAATGTCAAAGTTAGTTATGGTTTACAAATTAGAAGACAAGAAGATAATATCGAAGGCTGATCATGATAATTTTGGAAATTCTTGTTTGCAGTATTCTTCAATACACTCAAAGTAAAACAACTAATTAGCTTCCATATACTTGTTAAGACACGTTTAAAATTGCATCCAAGGGGTAGCATACTAGTCAATGAGGTGGATGCAAACCTTGGAAACCACGTTGCAAAACCCAACAAAGACAAAAAATACTTGGTAATTTTTTCCCATCTGCCCATACCCTTCCGGCAGACTTACCCATTACCTGTGTTGGTAGGAGGTAGCAGGTACCCGATGGAATAGTCGAGTTGCTCGCGACCCTATATATTGTTGTTTAGAGAAAAAGAAAAAATACATGCAGGCACACACTCAAAGTTTGTCACATCCATGAAACTTAATTTCCTTGAGCTGTGTTTCAGTCTCACATTATTTTTCCGAAATGTGTGATCTAAGGTGATATAATTCCTTCTCTTGTCCATTAGAACTGAAGGTTATTGGAAATGGAAATTAAAATATGCATATTTGATTTCTTTTGTTTTTTTAATGCAGGCAAACCATAGATTCTCAACGAAATTGCAAAGACGTATATATGGTCATGCAACTGATGTTGCAATTCGCCCTCTAAATGAAGAAAAGGCAGTTCAAGCTGCTGCTGATCTTCTAGGTGAACTCTTTGTGTTCTCGGTAATGTTGTCTCTATGTCCTTAATTTGTTATATTGCACAGATATTTTCTCGTATGAGATAATGATTATTGATCGTCATGATAATGTTTTGGAGATGCTGATATATTTATTGATGAGAACACCCTTGTTTATGTCCTATTCCACTTGTGATGCAGCCCACAAATTCTGTTACATATTTTCATAGTGGACCATAGCCAGGATGTTATTAATCCAAAACTTAATCTAATATTCTAGATGTAATGGAGAAGGCATGACATCTTATATTTCAGAATGGGGGTTTGTCATAGATCAAATGGCTAGTTTTTAAAATTGAAATCTGACCACTGAAGTCTTCTGTAATCGGTATCACTAAATAATCTAAATCACTGAGTTCTTAAGTGCTTGAAATATTAATTTGTTGTCTTTTTTATATATGTGCACCAAAACATAAAAGATGTTGACTTTATATGCCTAATATGGTCATGTTACTGGCAGTATATATGTTTCAGTTATGTTAATTTTTTTTAGAATGGTAACAATTTCATAAAAAGAACAGCACAAATATTGTGCAGTTAGAAGTGACAAAATACATACTCAAGAAAACATAAAGATAAGAACCCCCCTACAACAAAAACTTACGGGGATTCCTTTGATATCAAGTATGGAGTCACTATCATTTACAGAATATTCTTTACACCAAAAAAGAAAAAGTACCAAGCAGTTCATTTTTATTCTTTGGATGGAGTTCCTTTCTCCCTCAAAACATCTGGAGTTCCTTTCATTCCAGACAGTCCACCAAATACATGCTGGGATCATCTGCCGCCATTTCTGCCTAACACCATCGGTCACACCACCCCAACATCTCAAGAGGTCAGTTGTATCCTTTGGCATGACCCAATGCATTCTGACTATACTCAGAAACAAGTGCCATAAATGAGAAGTAACCACACTGTAGGAACAAATGAGAGTTATCTTCAGCCTCCCTTTCACGTAGATAACATCTGGAACTCAGATGATAACCCCTCGTCATTAGTTTTTCATGGGTCAGAAAAGCTTGTCTAGCCACTAACCATACAAAGACTAGCACTTTAGAGGGTGTGTTTACCTTCCAAATCTGTTTCCAAGGCCAACCTCTACCAATGTGGATGTTGCCCATTTGACTTTTGTAATCTGAATTCACTGAGAAACACCCCTAGTGCTTGACCCTTTCCACTCTGTGAGGCCTTGCAAATGATCAATTTGATTTAACAATGCAGCAACTCTGTCAACTTCCCAGTCATTGAGCATCCTTCTGAAGTTCAAATTGCAGCCCTGCTGTCCTTATTTCTTCCACCTTGGCTTATGCGTTTGATGCTAGCAGAAACAGATCAGAATATTGATCTTTTAGAGGACCATGTCCTATCCAGTTGTCATCCCAAAAGGCAGCCCTCCTACCATTTCCAAAAGGCAGCCCTCCACCTTGGCCTGTGTTTTTGATGCTATGTTTCAATTATGTTATATGTTATATTTATTGAAGTATGTTACTATAGTTGTTAGTACTCCATGTGACCCAAAATCTTGTTTTTCGTTCCTTTTTAAGTTGTCTGAAAATGTTGTCCACTTTTGATTAGAAAGTTTGAATACATTACACATAGTTACATACCGCAAATTCAAGACTCCGGCCTTGTTTTTAAAGTCTCAGTACTATTTTATCATCTTCTCCGCCATTTTTTAATTCATTTAATAATGGTGGTGTTCAGGCTTAGCTTACGCGCACCTTGACTAGACCAGTAGAAGCCTGCATCTTTCCACCAGTATAGGTAGTGAGTAACTCTACCCTTCAAGGTTTAGGCTGAGCAAATGAGAAGAAATCACCGGGCCTTTTGCCTCTGCTAGGGTTTGAACCCTGTGCTCCTATGATTTTCATTCCAGCTTCATTGACCGTTAGTCCACACCCTGGATGCTCATCTAGGCCACTATTCTGCAGCACAAAATTAAAAATGGCTTCACATGCTTCTTTACAAATATTAAATGGCTCATGCTTCAGCTTTTATCTTAATGATTGAGCCAAATCAAACTATTCAGACAAACTGGAGGAAGTGTTGATTAAATATATCAATATGGTGCCTTTTAACTATGAATCTATTGTTACTATTTGATATCTAATTGATCAGAAAATTTATATCCGGTGACAAACTAAAAATTTGAAAGCACTTGAAGTGGTATTACGTGATCGTTTGTTTCTGTTTCTGTTACGCAGCTCGTCTAGTTGGGTTATCAAACTGCCTCCCTAGTACGATTGAAAACTACAATTAATGAATCCAAATCCCAACTGCTCAAGATGGCTTGTTTGGTCAAGTGAAGCTAGCTTGAAAAAGGGCTGGTGTGGCACCATCTTCGTTTTTCCTTCTCTTTGTTGTTTCCCACACACATTTGGCATCACCTGAAAACAATATGTGTATAGATGTGAACTGAAAAGTGAAATTTTGATTTACTTGATCTACAGCAGAATGCTATAGATGCTCCTTTTATCCTGTTATTCCCTCTTTCAGGGCATAACAAGTCAATAATTTATGAATGTATAGTGTGGAGATGTCTAGGATTACCTTGTTCAGTCTTGTCTTCTTTCTCCACCAAAGGCAGAATGTCATCAACTTATGCTTCTTTTTTGCTAAAAATCTGTTTAAATTAGGTGGCTGGAGTTGCTGTTATCTTTGAGGTGCAAAGAAGTTCCAGATCTGAAGCTAGAAAGGAGGAATTCCGAAAGCAGGAAATAGAGGTGCATATTGACATTCATAACTATGATCTTCTTGTGTCTGAAATATTTACCAAGTCCCTCCTCCCTACTCCCTGTATCCTTTACAAAAATTGATAAAATATTCTCCATAGAACTCATAGAAAATGAAATTTAGAGATCGACAGGAAACATCTCAACTGAGATGCTAAATAAGCACGTCTTTAATTAGTATTGCTCTCCACATTGATAAGAGCAGGTTTAGGTGAGTGTCTTCACTATGACCTATTATTCGTTTTTGAGTTAACGGCTTAATTTCCTGTCGTGAGTTTAGGTTATCTGAGATTTTCTCCACACTGCACCTAGTAATAAACAATTAACATTGAACTTACATAGTTTTGAACTGGATAAATAAATGTGAATTTACCTTTTCACTTGTTGGTGTGCTATACTTGAAACTTTTTAGAGCTGTTTTTTCTTTCTTCACCTCATTTACTGTTTCGACCATGTTTTCCTTAATACTGCAATGAGCGAAGCATTTTACGGTTGTCATGGTTCAGGAGCACAGATACAAATATTATGTCTTAGATTGAGGAGATATGTTACTAAAATTCTGTTACAAGGAACTGATATCACTGATATCACAGCCCCCCTGTTATATTTCCATGTTAAAACTAATTCATAAATTCTTTGCTTTCCTAGGCAATGAAGCAGCGAGATGAAGAGCTGAGTAGAGAGATTGAGTTTCTTAAGAACAGAGTTATTGAACTGGAGCGACATGCCAAAACACGAGGATTGAGTAGTATCTTTAGCATCGGTAATGCAGAAAGTACTAAAGATAAAGTAAAAGCTGGTTGATCATCTGCTGGTTTTGTGCTAACATACACATTGACATTGTAAGACCCCCTTACAGTTAAGCAACTTAAAGAGTTGATGTCTGTTTTCATCAGCTTCTTGTTTGTACTATTTTAGCATTCCTGGAAGAGAATGCAGTAGCTTCTGGAAGTAGAGAAAACTTTAAGCAATTCTGACAAAGATGATTCTCAGGACATTCTACGTTTGACAGGTCAAAGCCATTAGAATACTACTAACCAAAATGGATATCCATGATGGGCTGCCTTTGGTCTATGAATAAAATGCAAACATATCATATTGTAAAGGAGTTACATATTTTGGACAATTTTTGCACCTAGCCATTCAGGCAGTATTGATGTCAATTTTACTTGTTCTGGCTTAGTAAGGATTGTTATTATGTTAAGAGTCCAGGGGTCTCCAATTTGTTACTCCCTTTGCTTCAATTTATGTGTCTTACTTTCCTTTCACTCTTTAACTCCAACGTTCCATATGGTATTTTTCAGACCACAAGATTCACAGATATTTTAGTGCATTACACATTTTTAATTTAAGACCACAATATTAGAAGTCTTCCTTACTTTTCTTAAATTATGTGCTTATCCAAATTAAGACACATAAATTGAAATGGACGGTGTAAATGCATTCCATTGTGCTTTTTCTCAGGGGAACGTCCCGAGATGTTCTAGTTTTTACCTTTTGTGAACTTGTGATGTAGGTGTAGGAACTCTGCTCTTTTCAGGTGGTGTTCATGCGTCCTTTAGTCATGTTTATGTTCCCTTTCCTCGGTTTGTGAACTTAGATATTCGTTCTCAGTCATAATGCAGATTCATTTGGTCTAACAAAAGTTTGTTATTTAAAATGTAATTTGCTTCAAAAGGTCTTACGAAAACGCTTTCGATGGATCTCTGAAATTATTCAGTTCCAACAGGAAGGTGATATATTATCACGAAAATGATTACGTGAGAATTTATAATAAGATTCACAACATACAAACATCAATCAATATAGAAGAATAATTTAGTAAAGTAAAATATAAAAGATGATCTCGAATAATTTAATTACTTTTTCCACCAAAACGTCATCAGAAAACGAGGGCAGCTTTTAAGCCAAGAAGCAGATTCGCACATCAGAAAATCAACTACCAGTTTGCCAAGGCGCTAAAGTGCTCTGCCTCTATTGCATCGAAGACATCATCAGACCTTCCCTGATCTGAGGTGTCAACTCGACCCATTAATACCACAGAGAAGGAAAATAGAAATAATGAATTGGCATTTCAGATACCCTGAGAAATTGATCAAATATTCCTTAGTCTACAATGACTAGTGAAACAATAGTGTACAGTGTACACACGCGAAATAATCTGTTCAAACATGCTTCAGTTCAATCTTTGCAATCGAATACATCCTATTCCTAGAGATTCATAAGAAGCTATACTACAATCATACACTAACCTAAAACAATATAGAAACAAGGATAAAGAATGCTGAGGAATCACTCGAAGGGGCCTGTAGCTCAAATCCCGGCTTGAGCACCAGTAAACTAGAGCTTTCACGGCTAAGCAATTCATGTGGTTAATTCCTTGTACAGAAAAAGGAGAAATACCACTGCCACATGATAATTTGAACTCAAAAAGAAGAAAGAACCATCCTCCAACATATAGATTAGTCCTTGTATTAAGCAGAACAGCACCCAACTTTCTTTACTGCTGAAACATCATCCTTATTTCCAACATTGATTGTCTGCCCCTTGGGCAATGCTGCCGGGTCATCTCCTGCTTCAAGAGCTTTCCTGCTCACGACACGGTATATTTGAGTGAGCACTTCTGTGAAGGCATTTTCCACATTCATGGACTCCAGAGCAGATGTTTCCATGAAAAAAGTACTCTCCTTCTCAGCAAATGCTTTGGCATCCTCGGTGGAAACAGCCCGTAAGTGACGCAAATCTGCCTTATTCCCCACAAGCATTATCACAATGTTTGAGTCAGTATGATCTCTGAGCTCCTTTAGCCACCTCTCCACATTCTCAAAAGTCACATGACGAGTGACGTCATAAACCAGCAATGCACCAACAGCTCCTCGATAGTAGGCACTCGTAATTGCACGATATCTTCAAGAAAAACCATCAGTTGAGATTAAGATAATCATAAAACATATGAAGTCATAAAATTTCCATACAGGAAAGTAATATATTAAAACTGCACAACATAAAGAAGATCACATCACAATATATGGGTCTACTGGAGACAGTAGAAGTCCGGATCTAAATCTAAGCCAATTAAAGCACAAAACCTATTTTTCAAGAAAATAGACTTTCATCTCGTATCAACTTAGAATTTTAAAAGTACACATCTACAGACATTAGATACTCAAAACAAACAGATGGATGAGAAATAAGGAGAGCAGTATCTCACCAGCATACCGTGTCACATACAAATTATAAATACCGAGTACCAAAAATTAAAGCATTCAGAATATTACTTGGATTACTCATAAATTAGCTATGGCACAAATTATTAATATTGTTTAGTGCACATTCTCAAGATGAACCAGACAGAAAAACAAACACAAGGGAGTAGGTTTTCATAACATACACATCACAGCTCGTATAGCAAAGCCTACAGAAGAAGAAAAAGACACTCTAGGCTTGAGAAGGTAAAACAATAACTAGGAGAAATAGACATAAGGAGACAGTCTCCTAATGCATCAAAATCATTCATTGTCAGCCTAATGAATCACATTTTAGAAAGCAAATTTCTATATTTAGATTCAAAAGAATGCCTCTCTACCTCCACGAGGTAGGGGTAAAGTGTGCGCACACACTACCTCCCCAGACCCCACACAGTGGGAATACACTGGGTATGTTGTTGTTGTGGATTCAAAAGAATCAGACTGGCCCCTTCTTGGAGCAGGATGGATATTACACCACTAGAGCACATGCAACTGTATCAGAAAGGTGATAATACCTTTCAGAAGTCAACTCATTTTTTATCCCCCACCCTAAGAGTATCAACAGTATTATCACTTACTCTCCACATGGCTCAAACCTCCAATCTACCAGCTGCTGGTGGAGGTGCTCTCACATCAAGAAAGTTTCACTCATCAGATCCTTTATTATCAGTTTAAGCCTCTATAAATTCTGTTTCAGCTAACGAGAAGCAACTTATCCTCAGTACAGAACGTAGTTACCAAAGGCCGAGTTAAGAGTCTACCCAAAATCAACCACGCTGATAACCTCTGTATCTATAATTAAGGATTTACTAAAAAAGCAATCATACTAAGGTTCGCACCTTCAAAGGACTAGCAGGCGCAGTAGTAATCTGCATCAACTAACTAAAATACTGGATCTGCCTTTATCATAACTTTAAGCGTATTAAAGTATTTGCTACATTTACTATCTTAAACTTGCACTTCAAGCAATCTCGGATCTAACATTGCAAAAAAAAATGACAATAATAAGGTCGTAACTTTGAAACGCATAGTAGTATATCATCATCAAACCAGATCTCAAAAGTTCCTGCACACACACTACTGAAAATGTCAATCAAAGGAGAAAATTTTGAAATGAATAGGAGAAAGAGTAGGATACCGTTCTTGACCGGCGGTGTCCCAAATCTGAGCCTTAACGACCTTATCTTCGACGCGAATGCTGCGAGTGGCGAACTCAACGCCGATGGTGGACTTTGACTCCAGGCTGAACTCATTACGACTGAATCTGGACAGAAGGTTCGATTTTCCAACACCGGAATCACCGATTAGAACCACCTTGAACAAGTAATCGTAGTCGTCGTCCGCTCTGTACGCCCCCATTTTAAGGATTGGGGGTGGGGGTGGGGGTGGGGGCACAGAGTAGGATAAATTTGAAGGAAGAGATACAGAGAGAGAGAGCGCTTTAAGAAAAGAGTAGAGGGAGATCTATTCAAAGTATTACTACTACTATTCAAACTTTTTCAAGGTTATTTGAAATACTAATAAACCCTCCTTATGTCTTTGACCTTGATGTTTTCAATACTTCAAAATGTCACGACTCTGGTGAAACAATTCGAAAAAGAAAGAAAAAAGAGGAAAGAGTATTTTTTTTCCCCTCAAATTACCTTTTTAGTATTACATCATGGATAATTATCGGACCAAAATTTGCTTTGGCTTTGTTATTTGACATGTGAGTTTTGTTAAAAGTAATTATCTATGTGGTACTAAAAAGTAAACTTGTTTTAAGTGTTGGATAGAGCTAAAGTCGGTTAACACTAAACGAAACTCGGGTCAGTATCTATTGTGACAGGCATATATTCTTGATATCGATGACAACTGCCAAGTTATAATTTAAACTAATACACTAATAAAAACATAGAAATGGTTCGATAGCAGAGAAAAACCTTATGTTATTCATTTTAGATCAAAAAAATTAGAACATTATTGCATTTTATAGTAGTTTTTCTTACGTAGTTTGTTTTATGAGGGTGGCTGTGGAAAAGGAGAAAGACGACCAAAAGAGTTGGTGAAAATCGAAAGCTGCAGCTCCGTGATGCAAGGGTTGGTGCCTATGGAAAACTACTTTTTTTTTTTAAGTCAAGTAGGAGAGCCGCATTAATTTCAAATTTTTTTATTAGCGTGGAAACAGAAACAGTAACATTGGATAGGAACATAATAACGACAAAACAGAAAGCAAACCTGCGTAGGTAGAAGGCAAAGAAAGAAAGAGGACTGGTATTTTAAAAATGCGACCTCATTCGTTCAAATAATCATTAAATATGTACAGATAATAAATTTTGAACCCACTAAATAAGATGAAATGTGATAAAATTGCAAATCTTAACCGATAAAATTTAAATCCTGAATCCGCCTATTAAACTAGTCTACCAAGGGGTCAACATCCAGTTTTGTTCACAACTCATTTGTACTAGAAACACATAGACACAAGTAAAATCCTACGAAAAGTAATCACCAAAAAAAAAAAAAATCATAATAATTTTAATATGCACCAGCAGCAGTACCATTTTATCCTTTGTTGTAACTTATGAAGTTACTGATAAATTGATTCTAAAACCATCACGAAAGGAAAAAAGTAATTAGCATAAATAAGCAGATGATAACACATAATATGAAACAAAACATTCGAGGGTATCACGACAAAGTAAAACATTAATTGAAAGTGAATTGGTTGAACGATGAGAGGGGAAAGGATCAAACTTCGACAAAATTTTATTGCGTTGGAGCATTTATTTTCAGTAATTCTGCCTTTAATCAGCTGTTACAGCGAAATACATTTCCTGGTATCCAAAAAAAGAACATTGTATGATACATTTCTCTTTTCTATCTATATAAGCGTAAAAATCTATAAATGAGAAACACCTAAGTAGAGGTGAAAATAATTAAGCTTCACGTATACAAACGGCGGCACAAGCTTTGACAGGTATCGAGGAAAAGTAAAGAAAAAGGCTTCAATCCTTGGGTCTCTTGCTCATTTGTTTTCTTTTGTTCACTTCCAGGTATCTCTTTCTTAGCCTAATGGCTTTTGGCGTAACCTGCATCAAAATTTTTTACAAGAAATGTGCCATTAGCATAGGTTTATTTCCTTAACTACAGCACTGCATGGGTCGATACGCACAGCGCCTAGTCCATCGTTTACGGCTAGGACTACTGGGGTATCTAATCTCATTCACTCCCCTAGCTTTCGTCTCTCGGTGTCAATGTCAGCTTAATCTTATGTAATGCCAAATCAGTTTTATTTTCATTGTGCAAGTCAGTAAAGCTTTATTGCCCAAGCAACCCATGATTCAGACCAAGTAGTACTACTAGAAAGAGTTACCTGTAACGTCAAGTTTTATCATGTTTGAGAAGTTTAAAAAAGCAAACATACCTCAATAAGCTCATCCGAAGCAACGTATCCTATGGCTTCTTCAAGAGACATCTGCAACAATATCAATGATATAACCAATACAACCCGGAGGAGTAAAAACATAACACCATCAAATCCTTTAGCTACGACATTCTCGAAGATGGACAATCCAATGAAGAATGAAACTTATCACAGTTAGAGAGAACTTATATAGAGGATCAATCCACATAGACACTATATTTCCTGACATTCTTTAGCAGGGACCCTCATTGTGGACATTCTTTAACCACTTCACATAGGGGAAATACGATTAAGAGTCATATCCAAGATGTCAACAGCACAACGTTTTGTAACTGGATAAAGTAAAAACGCAAAATGAGATATTTGTCGACCAAAAATGAAAAAGGGTAAAAGCAAAATGAGATACTTACAAGGCGGGGAGGAGTTAACCTCACATTCTCATCCTTGCAAGCAGCCCTTACATTGGTAAGTTCTTTTGTCCTAACCGGGTTGACCTGTTTCATGCAATCAACCAAGAGTCACAGATGCACATGACAAATACACTAAGATAAGAAACGACAGCTCCTTACATCAAGATCGGTATCTCGAGAATGCTCTCCAATAATCATGCCATCATATGTCTGCATATTATCCAAGACAAAGATCATAATATTTTTATATTGTTCATAAGAGCATGTCAGTTTTTATAAGCCCTCACGTTACAAGGACTCTCGTACTATAGTCTTTATACATTCCACGCCTTAAAACATATCCCCCTCTTTTTATGAATAAGTAATCACAACTTGAATGGCAACAACATCACCAGAGCCATCAGCCCCACATATTTGAGTTCCCAAAAGGAACCTAGTGTAAGGAAAGAAACTAAGAGAAAAAGTTGACAAACAGTTCAGTTGAACCACCTCCATCCCAGGTGCCACAAAGAGAATTCCACGAGCTTCTAAATTCATAAGAGCATGAGCAGTGATTAACCCGCGGCCCATCGATACCTGTTCAACCAATAGAATGAGGCACAATTACCCACAAATGGAAAGAGGATATTATATCAAAATACAAGTGGTGTATATGGATTTTCCAGACATTCAAATCTGAAGCTAAACTCCCTCAAAGTGTAAGAGGGAAGCTGAATTAGATGTACTCATAACAAATCTGCTAAATACAATTGGCAATAGAATAAGGTCCAAGGGAATTCTGGGTTCAACGAGGATGCTTTGCAAAGATTTTCAATGTTACAATTGACTGAATTGTCATCCATGAAAATACTATGAGAAAATCTAGAGGAAAAATGTTTTACTTATTCAAACCTAGCATCCTTAAGCCGGTAAGTAAACGCATCTCAAGGTGGTACTATGAAGCATGAATCATGAAAGTCACAAGTAAAAGGACAATAGACAGAAAAACACTGAAATGTATGGCCAAGTGACACCAATTCACACAACAGTACATACTAACAATGTTTGAAGTGAAAATTGGCTGAACAAACTTAAGATGTATAGAATGGGAGATGAAAAAAACATTCCTGGCAGAACAGAGGGACATAACCCACCATTTATACTTCAAAAAGATGAAACATAGAGCAACATTAAACAGAACAAGGGGACTGAAGAAAAGATCTCAAATGTGTCTTTACAGGGTAACAAGGGTGCTTACTAGTACTCCTTTCCTGACATTTCCAAGAGGACCACGATATTTTTCATAAGCTGCACCAAGAAGAAAAATGCTAAGTTCAATGAAATGTTCGTTTAACCATATGTGAGTATTCAACAAGCATGCGTCATAAGCAGTCATGTAAGCAAAGAAGGAACAAAGCTAAAGAATAATCCAACAGAACAAGAGACTCAGCAATTGCTAAATGAAATTTTGCTCTATACACATGTATTTGGGAGTTGATCGTGATTAAGCAAAGATACATCCTTGTTTGCATCTATTCATAACAGAAAAAGAGGGCAAAAACTCATTTTGAAGTGCCATTCAAAAATCAGCAAGACAAGGACAAGCATATCCTTATTCTTGACTGTTCAATTAAAATTGAGAATTTTCCTTATTCTTGACTGTTCAATAAAAAATGAGAATCCACGCGTTCTGAAGACTTTCCTCAATTCTGAAAATATAGTTAACACTGTATTCCCTGTCAAAGAAAAAACAGGCCCTGAAGAACCTCAGCCACCAAAAGCTCAGAAGATCAAAAATAAGAAAGAAAAGGACGGAATGGTTTGCCCAATGTGGATCCGAGGAAAGAACAAGGATATAAAGAGGACCACATTTGCAACATACGTGTAAATTCTGAGACCTTGCAATACCAGATTAGAATGTGTTATCACAAAAAATTTGAGCTGATATACTCAGATCCACATATTGCTAATCCTAGCACACAGTTACATTTTTGCATAGTCTACTATTAAATTGTATTAAAATAGGACAGAGGAGCTAATTGCAGAAATACGCAGAAAGATCCTATTGTAATGTGCAGCAGGAAATTGGAGAAATGGTCAGATAAACTTGTAGGATAAAAAGTAAGCATTAATGAAAAGTATACTTAGAAATGCCCGGTGCATAAATCCAGCGCCACGGGTGTCACTGCTGAAGACACTTCTATAGCCAACTAGCCCTCTGCATTAGGTCAGGGATGTTAAAAATTAGACAAACTAAACAATGGAATCAATCAGACAAGCTTGATGAATATGTAGTATATGGAGAATGTCTGAATACAGAAAAGGTAACATGAAACTGAAATCCACAATTTGTTGGTTGCCTTCGATAAAATCTCTGAAGAAAATGCATTGATTAATCATTTCAATAAATTGACATTTACCTTTACAAATGCAGCAACAAAATTATCCAATAACTTTTAATTTCACATTGTTTCAGGGTTTTGGGGTACACTAGAGAAACAAAGACCAGATAAAAGTTACATGTTTTTGACAATACTTGGCATGTCTTGGACAATGCCAAAATCCATTTTTGAGCTATTGCACTGCTGGAACAAAGAGGGGTTGCGCAAGAAATCCCGAAGATTTGGTATGCAATTCCTCAAGCCATTTGGTGGAATGTTTGGCTTGAAAGAAATAGCAGAATTTTTAGGCAACAGGAGAAACATACA